GGCATAGAAGAGAGCTGGATTGGAAGTGGAGCAGCCAGGACTAGAACTGGCACCTATATGGGATGCTGGCACTGCAGGCAGTGGCTTTACCTGCTATGCCACAGGGCCGGCCCCTGTTATTTGCATATATTAGTGTAGATGTTATATGGTTCCATTATTTGTATATATTAGTGTAGATATTATATGGCCCTGTTATTTGCATATATTAGTGTAGCTCACTTACATCCTCTGTCTTAGTGCAAAATCTAGGCTTCCCCAGGCACAGTTTCTATTGAGTTTTCCTTTCTCTGGGTTATGGCCCTCACTGAGTTTGCTTGAGATCAGTCTCAGGTTACCTTTGATGATCTCTGGGAGGACCCACAGAGTTTAGTACACAGTCATTAGCATGTCTATGACTTCTTATAGTAAAAAGGTACAAAACAAAAAGCATCAAAGAGAAAATGTGCATGAGATGATGTCCAAAGAAAACCTTGTGCCAGGTTCCGGTGGTCCGTGCTCCCCCACCCCCCCGAAGAATTCCACAGGGACACTCCTTCTCCAGCAAGAACGCCACATCATGTCAGCTGGTCTACCAGGGAAGCTCATTAGATACTCAATTCCCAAACTTTTTTTTTTTTTTTTTGACAAACAGAGTTAGACAGTGAGAGAGAGAGAGAGACAGAGAGAAAGGTCTTCCTTTTTCCGTTGGTTCACCCCCCAAGTGGCCGCTATGGCCAGCACTGCGCCAATCCAAAGCCAGGATCCAGGTGCTTCCTCCTGGTCTCCCATTGCAGGTGCAGGGCCCAAGCACTTGGGCCATCCTCCACTGCCTTCCCGGGCCACAGCAGAGAGCTGGACTGGAAGAGGAGCAACTGGGACAGAGTCCGGTGCCCGAACCTAGATTAGAACCCGGGGTGCCAGCGCCGCAGGCGGAGGATTAGCCAAGTGAGCCGCGGTGCCAGCCCCAAACTTCTTCTTGGACCATGTAGGCACCTTCTGCTTAGCGTGTACCAAACCCAAGATTCCCAGAAAGCAGATGTTTAGCATAAACCATGTGGCTCACATACACTATTTAGGCACAGTGTGACATCACGATAGTTCTAGTGATAGTGACGACTTTTCCAAGCTCCAATTCTCAGGTGTCAGATTTGGGCAAATTTTGAAATTTTGTAAATTTTATTCACTATATTTGTTAGAAAAGGAGAAAGAGAGAGAGAGAGAGAGAGTGAGAGAGAGAGAGAGAGAGGTTTTCCATGTGCTGATTTAATCCCCAAATGTTTGTTCTGAGTGTGTGTTGGGGATCACCTTTTTAGTAACCTGCTGATCAGAATTCTACCTTATCTTCACTTGATCAGCTTCTTAATGTCAACTGGACTTGAGAATTTAGAACCACCTCAGTTCCTTCCCCGCCGTGTTCCCAGCCCCTTTGAGTAGGAGACTTCCACAAGCGAATGTGGCCTTCCAGAAGTATGCTGAGCCTGTGTAAGCTTCCTTTGTGAATACCCAGTCAACATGCAGCTTCTCTTTTGCTGTCTTCTGTTTAATATTTCCCACAGCACTAGTCCACCAACTCAGGCAGCCACAAGATATATCATTGCCTGCAACTGTTTTGAACAAGTATCCCTAGGGAAAATGATTTTTCCCCTGCTCTGGATAAGTTCTGAATCATTATAAATACTAACACACACAGAGAGAGAAAAACAACACATCTAAAAATACTGAGACTTCTCCCAGAAAGAAGACTTGAAGGAAATCCAGCAGAATCCTGGTCATATTCCACTGCTCCTGGGTTTTACATTTTCACTGCAAACATGGCTGTTAATTTTCAAGCCAAAGGCAGGACTGGAGAGTGGAAGATGGGGCCAGGAGAAGTTAAAATGCCGCACAGTTTGCTGTTTTATGGAGACTCCGCTATTTTCATAAATGAGATCCTCTTGCAGTATTGAAAAGCTGTTGTTAAAATATAAAGTTTTTAAATATATTCGGTCATTTTATTATGAGTGGCCTACCTGATACCCTGGTGGGGGAGTGGGTCTGTATACTGCTGTGTGTTCACTAATATCATTCCTTAAACTGTTTCTATCCGGGACCCTAATCTATAACAGATTATCCTGAGAAGCTTGCATTGAATGCCCCTCAGCATGAACTACAGCACCGTGGACTTCAGAGTATCACTGAGCTGAGCTCTGCGTCAAACGTTACTAGTGACAGCTGTTTCGGTCAAGAAACCATAGTAGGCAGTTTAGAGAGACCTGCAGGCTGACGGTTATGTCTGGCCTTGTGCTGCCATTACCACCGTGCCAGCGTCCCCGTCCTTGTTGTTTCCCGGTCATTTCTGCCTCTGCTTCCACTGAGCAGGATGCTCTGGCCACGCGCATTTCACTGCGGTCTAAGCCACAGGGAAGCAGCGCTCTGTGTGACTCATCCCTGATGACTGACACATGCCCTGTGTCCTCTTAGACTTTCAGGAAAACACTAAGCTGTGGATAGATCCTGGGAAACACTTCTCTGGAGAGGAAGGAGAGGGATCATGCATGGCAAAGGTAAGGTCACCTTTCTTTTCCTGAACTGGAAATACTGGTTCCTTGCTTTCCTGTGTTTTCAGCTGAGTCAATGGGAAAGCATTCTGCATAGATCTCAGATACTGTCTTCTTCACTGATGGAATAATAGTTGCTGACCAACTGATATTTACAACCAAGGGATTTTCCAGGACCAAGTTATAAATTTTGTGCAAGAGGTTCTTTCCCTCCCAAGCAATGTCTCCTCCTTGATTTAAATACTCTCTCCCTCAGTAAAACCAGTGTTGAGAGACACATGCCCAAAGAAAAGCTTATGTCTTATCCAAAGCTATAACCCATGCTTGCCCAGATCCCCTTTGCTCTGTCTGACGTTGCTTCTGTGTTTCCAGTCCTCATTGAGAGAATCCAATGTGTATGAAAACACTCAGCCCCGCGATGCACTCATACTGTTTGTTTTTGTGATTGCAGGAGGTGTCCATAAGATCTGGAGATAGTAAGTATTTTTGAGTCATTCATTTGATGAGGTAAAGACAGTATTTGCTAAGACTGTTGTAGGATTCTTTGAAGAGCCCCCTGATTCCGGGGTCCTGGTGGGAGTTAGGATTGTGAGGGTATGCTTAATGAAAACAGTTTTGTTGTCAAAAATTTCAGAATTATTTTTCCAGATTTTCTTTCCAGAAAACAAAACCCATTACCATCACACATTGTAATACACATTAACTCAATGAATTTTGAACTCATCTGTGTCTTATTTATTTCCCACTCCTCTGCTTTGCTGTCCTCCTTCCACCCAAGGGGATGGACCAGCAGTGGCTCAGTCCATGCCCTCTACCCCCATGTCCACACTGACCGAAGATTCCTGACTGATTCGCAATCACCGTCCACCAGTTCAGGTCTGACTGGGTGGATGAGGCTGTCTCCGTGGCTTCAAGTCCACCGTTCTCTGTCTTCTATGGAAATGTCATTTTCTTCTCGATCAAATGTAGATGTGAAAACCAGATGATGCACATTATAGCTGCCACACGCATTGTCCTTGGTGGGGGTGGTATCATTGGGAGGACCACATGAGACCTAATCCTCTAGAACATTTGAAATCAGAGCATGCATTAAAAACCATATGGTTAGCACCAGTCTTCTTCCTTGCATTTAGAATTGTGTACCTCCAGCAGCAATGAACTTGAGAGTTGCATTGTACAGGAGAGCATCTTGCCCTTACACCAGTGCTCCTTGCAGTAGTTTGGGGATATGTGACCTTTTGACTCAACAGCTGCTCCCTAACTGGTCCTAACACCAAGGGAACAACGGCCCTGTGTGTGAAGTACACAGCATGGTCTGATCTCTACAACACCTTCTTTTCTATAACCACAGATAACCCCATTCGGAACACACAGTGGCCGGTGCTGTGAAATCACACACTTGCTGGAGTCTGGAGAAGCCTGATTCCACAGTCTGTCTGGGAAGCAAGGTTGGGGTTGAGGGTAATTTAGTAAGTTTAGAACTGTGGCCAGCGAGGCCGTGGGCAAGGTGTGTGAACCAGAGCAAAGCCCCAGCTGACTGGGTGTGTGCCTGTGTGGCCTCCTCTGGTAGAGGGAGCTGAAAGTGGGAAATGCTCTTTCCTGATGTTTTTCTACTTGTTTGCATTCCAGAAGACTTGGTCCTGGAAAGCATTAGTGATGACAAGGATGGCGTTCCAGGTTGCTATCAGCCTTCCAAGGTAGCATCCAGGTGGTGGGTTCCCAGGAACAGTCAGGGTTATCCTTGCTGCTCGAGAGGCTAGCAGGAGAGGGTATAAAATTAGAAAGAAAAAGGAAATTTGTGTGCAAGTTGGTTTTGCTCTTTTCCTGGTCGGATGGTGTACCAGGAAGGCGTTCTGTGTTTATGAGCACCGAACCTGCTGTGTTTGTGTCCATGCCTCTGGTTTGATTATGAAAACCCCTTGGGAATTATGCACAGGAGATTTGCACTGTTTTTAAAAAAGATTTATTTTATTTATTTGAGAGAGAGAGAGACTCTTCCCTTTGCTGGTTCACTCCCCAAATGACCACTATGGCTGGAGCTGAGCTGATCTGAACCCAGGAGCCAGGAGTTTCTTCCAGGTCTCCCATATGGGTGCAGAGGCCCAAGGGCTTGAACCATCCTCTGCTGCTTTCCCCAGCCATAACAGAGAGATGGATCAGAAGTGGAGCAGCCGGGACTCGAACCAGCGCCCACATGGGATGCCAGTGCTGTAGGCGGGGGCTCTAACCCGCTATGCCACAGCACTGGCCCCTGCACTGGGTGTTGAGCTGGGATGGAAGGAGTCTGCTAAGGCCCTTACTTGAAACTGGAGACAGTTATTTTGGTGTGTGCCTGGATTCGGAGGGGAAATCCTTGGTCTCCCTTGGATTGTCCAGGTCTTCTAGCAGCACCTTCCTGTTGCTGTCCTCAATGCTGTTCATTTTAAAGGACACTCACCAGGGTACATGGCAAAAGGAGTATTTACTCAGGACTGCCTGGGAGGGGATGGAGAAGCAAGACCTTGAGCAGACGGCCATCCTCGACTGCTCACCCCCAATCACAAACTTTGGGGTGAGGCTTCTTTTCTCCCTCTATAAAGAAGCATGATACTGCACTCTTCCCATCTCCCAGGATTAGATGTAAGTAGGTGACCTCTAAATTTCCATGTAGAACTTCACTTCTGGATGGGATCATTCTCAGGTCACCAGGAGCTTTGCAGGAAACTCCACGGGACAGAGTGTGCTGACAGCACCCGGCTCAGTCAGTGTTAACCACCTGCACTTTTCTCTTTGTAGCACCCCGGATTACAAAAGTCTTTCTCTCCCAGTCTCCAACATTCTTCAGGCCCAGGAGCAAGTACGAGGGAGAACTTACATCTGGATGTTAAGAGAATCTTGGTTTCTTCCAGAAATTTCTCTACAGAAATGCAGACATTAAAGTGGACCAAGGGCCCACCAGTAAGGTTCCATTAAAGTGAGTCGTAAAGTTCTTGAGTAAAGGAATGACTGTGCTTACAACTAATTCAATTTTTCATCTTTCTGGATACAAGAATCGGGGGTCTTGCCTTTAGAGCAAACAGCTCTTTTTCTTTAATTACTAACGTCTTTCAGTATCTCTCATTTCTTCATCTCCTGCAGACTCTCTGCCTCAAACAACATCCTCATCACATTCTGTCTTTTTTTCCCCCTCAAGATACAAAATTTCCACAGGCCTGAAAGGGTGGTGAATTGTGTCTTTCTTTTTTTTTTAAGGATTTATTTATTTATTTGAAAGAGTTATACAGAGAAGAGGAGGAGGAGGAGGAGAGAGAGAGAGAGAGAGAGGTAGATCTTTTTTCCTCTGGTTTACTCCCCAACTGGCCACAATGGCCAAGGCTGGGCCAGGCCAAAGCAAGGAGCCAGGACCTTCATCTGGGTCTCCCACGTGGGTACAGGGGCCCAAGTACTTGGGTCATCTTCCTCTGCTTTCCCAAGTGCATTATCAGGGAGCTGGGCCAGAAGTGGAGCAGCTGAGACTTCAACTGGTGCCCATATGGGGTGCTGGTGTTGCAGGCAATGGCTTAGTCCACTGTGCCACAATGCTGGCCCTGGTGCGTTGTGTCTTGAGGTCTTCATGTGTATCATGTGAAAGTGGTATTTGATGAGGCTGTCCACTCATCACGCAACAACCCTCCACTGTGCTTAAGAATTTGGACATTGGCCGGTGCCGCGGCTCACTAGGCTAATCCTCCACCTTGCGGCACCGGCACACCGGGTTCTAGTCCCGGTCGGGGTGCCGGATTCTGTCCAGGTTGTCCCTCTTCCAGGCCAGCCCTCTGCTGTGGCCAGGGAGTGCAGTGGAGGATGGTCCAAGTGCTTGGGCCCTGCACCCCATGGGAGACAAGGATAAGCACCTGGCTCCTGCCATCGGATCAGCGCGGTGCGCCGGCCGCAGTGCGCTGGCCGCGGCGGCCATTGGAGGGTGAAACAACGGCAAAGGAAGACCTTTCTCTCTGTCTCTCTCACTGTCCACTCTGCCTGTCAAAAAAAAAAAAAAAAGAATTTGGACGTTAGGCTCAGAGGAGATGAATCCCAAGAGGCCATGTGTAGGGCTTATCAGACCAAAAAGCCCAGAGGGAGAAAACCCATAGTAATATTTATGGCATCGTTTCATTGTTTCCACTTAACAATTTTGAAATAGTCTCTCTTTTACCATAGAACATTTCAAGATGTTTAAAAACTTATTATACATCAAAAATGCAGAAAGCATACAAAATAAATGTACAGCTCAATGATTTCAGCCAAAATGGTCACCCTTGTTAACCACCAGTTCAGGTCTAGAACTAGGAACTGCTGGCTTTCAGAATCATCTCTCAGCTTCCTTCCGTGTTGACCCCTGTGAGTCTCCATGTGTTCTAGACTGGACTGCTCCAGTGTTGAACTATCGATAGAATAACCTGCATGTTCTGTTTAACTGTAGTTCATCTGTTTCCTTACTGCGTAGCATTTGCATTGTAGTCAAACACTGCACCTTATTCATTCTGCTGTGGATGGGTATCCATTTTTTTGTGTGTGTAGATTTTGACTACATGATGTTGCCTTGAGAATGTTCATCTACGATTCCTGAATCATATGAAGAATGATTATTGTTGACTGAATGGTTTTGAGTGTGTTTATCTTTCACTTTCATTAATTTTTCCAAAATTTGCACCAGTGTATGCTCTTTTTATTTTTTAAAGATTTATTTACTTATTTGAAAGGCAGAGTTACAGAGGAGCAGAGGCAGAGAGAGGCAGAGAGGTCTTCCATCCGCTGGTTCACTCCTCAAATGGCTACAATGGCCAGAGCTGAGTTATCTGAAACCAGGAGCCAAGAGCCAGGAGCCTGGAGCCAGGAGCTTCTTCCAGATCTCCCAATCAGGTATAGAGGTGCAAAGACTTGGGCCATCCTCTACTGCTTTCTCAGGCCATAGCAGAGAGCTGGATCGGAAGTAGAGCAGCCAGGACTTGAACTGGTGCCCGTGTGGGATGCCAGCACTGCAGATGGTGGCTTTACCTGCTGTGTCACAGTGCCAGCCCCTCAATGTATGCTCATTAGCAGTGTATGTAATTACACATTTGCCAAAATAAATTCTGGTCTATCTGACTTTTAAAACATTGTAGTTAGTGTTTCATTTCCCAACCTCTTCACTTCGACACTAAACAGCAGACAACAATAGAACTGTTGGTTCATTTCAATGTAGTGCATTTTCATAAAGAGGTTCAATATACTACCAAGCAAACTAAGTGTTTTGTGGGACCTTATTTTCTTCGAGTCCTGAACATAATTTCCACATGAAAAGTTTAATATACTAATCATTATTTTTCTTTTGATTTATTTTTAAACATTTTTGAAGTGAGTATGCTGAACTATTAATGGCTCTGAAACAGTATAATTGTGATTTGGGCTGTGCATCTTAGCCCACGAGACATACACATCGTCACTTTGTATGGACTAGACTCATAAACAGAGCAAGGAACTGTGGCAGAACTAAGGCCACAGGATTAGGGACTCATGTGGCCTCCCTAGCAGGCAGCTTGGTGCTGTCAAACTTGAAGATAATTAAAACTTTTTTTTCTGGGACCAGCGCTGTGGCGTAGCAGGTAAAGGCACTGCCTGCAGGGCCAGCATCCTGCATGGGCTCCGATTCAAGTCCAGCTGCTCCACTTCTGAACTAGCTCTCTGCTATGGCCTGGAAAAGCAGTAGAAGATGGCCCAAGTCCTTGGGCTCCTGCACCCATGTGGGAGACCTGGAAGAAGCTCCCGGCTCCTGGCTTCAGATCAGTGCAGCTCCGGCCGTTGCGGCCAATTGGGGAGTGAACCCGCACATGGAAGACCTCTCTCTGTCTCTGCCTCTCCTTCTCTCTCTGTGTAACTCTGCCTTTCAAATAAATAAATAAATCTAGAAAGAAAGAAAGGTAGGTAGGTAGGTAGGTAGGTAGGTGTGGAGATCCTGGCCTCCTGCTGGACAAATCTCCAGTCGGTAGAGAGCCCTTCCCAGTGCCTCCTTGATGACACCACGTTACTCTGTCCATCTGATTTGGAGGGGAGAGTGAGAAGAGACAGTGAAAGAAAATGATTTGTGGCCGGCGCCATGGCTCACTTGGCTAATCCTCCACCTGTGGCGCCGGCACCCGGGTTCTAGTCCTGGTTGGGGTGCTGGGTTCTAGTCCTGGTTGGGGTGCCAGATTCTGTCCCGGTTGGTCCTCTTCCAGTCCAGCTTTCTGCTGTGGCCTGGGAGGGCAGCGGAGAATGGCCCAAGTGTTTGGTTCCCTGCACCCGCATGGGAGACTGGGAGGAAGTACCCAGCTCCTGGCCTCGGATCGGCGCGGCACAGGCTGTAGCAACCATTAGGGGAGTGAACCAATGGAAGGAAGATCTCTCTCCTGTCTCTCTCTCTCACTGTCTATAACTCTCTCTCTCTCTCTGTCTCTCTGTCTCTCTCTCTTTCTCTCTCACTGTATAACTCTGCCTGGCAAAAAAATAATAATAATTAAAAAAAAGAAAATGATTTGCCTTACAGTTCATGGAAAAATGCTGGAATTGATGCTGCTATCAAATCTGCCTGGAGTTAAAGTAGTAATAATGTGAATGTGTTATTTCTGCTTTTGTGGCTTCATTTTTGTCAGTTACCTACCTATGTGGTTTTCTGTAAAAGAAATGTGTTAGGTGGGCTCACAGGTTAACACTTAAAACTTTCATCTGAGCCTCCCTACCGGGAAGAATGGAAACGGAATTCTTGCTCCTCTCCTTGATCTACCGTCTCTCATTTCCCGCGGCTCATTCATTGAGTGAGTTGACCTGGGCACCCAGGCCTCTGTGGATCCAGGGAAGTGTTGCCCTCAAGTCAGCACAGGTAAGCAGTGCCAGCAAGTCCCATTGTGCCAGTATTTCAGAGAAATGGGACATCAAGAAAGACTACTCCTTATCAAAAAGATAGTGAATGGTTGGTGACAGTTTTGTAAAGGAACAGTTTCTTTAGTAAATTTAATTTGATGTAGAAAATACCAGGGCCAGAACTCGCCAAGAAATTGATCCTGGGCAAGTGACACAGGAGTGAGAGAACCGTGTGGAATCTGTCCTTCTGAAGGGGAGCCCACGACGCCACTGCCACAGTAATAGGTTTGTGATCTTGGGCACAAATGCTCGTTTGATTCCAGGATGGAAGCACAACTACACTGAATTTGATTGGGAAAAATCAATGAATGACCATAGGAATCAGTTTAAGAAGTTAAGTCATGGGGGCCAGAGTCGTAGCGTAGAAGGTAAAGCCACCGCCTGTGATGCTGGCATCCTGTAGAGGTGCTGCCAGTTCAAGCCCCCACTGCTCCACTTCCGATCCAGCTCCCTGCTAATGCACCTGGAAAGCAGCAGAAGATGGCCCAAGTGCTTGGGCCCCTGTCACACATGGGAGACCCAGATGGAGCTTCAGGCTCCTGACTTTGGCCTGGTCAGCCCCTGCCATTGCAGTCATTTGGGGTACATGAACCAGCGAATGGAAGCTTCTCTCTCTCTCTCTCTCTCTCTCTCTCTCTCTGTAACTCTGACTTTCAAATAAATAAAGAAATCTTAAAAAGCAGAGGTCAAGCCCAGTGGTGATCCCAGTATTGATTTGTCTAATACTTAAATCCCTTTGTTGTCCTCACAGATCCCTTCTTACCCTCCTCACTCTGACAGCGTCATGTGTGTCCCACTGGTACACACACCACATGGGCCGCCGTTCCGTTACACGGGGTCATGCGCTTGCTCCCTTTGCCCTCCAGTTGTCGCTGTCCTCTGGCCTGCCATCTGCTATGAGACGCACTTGGCAGGTAAATTTTTCCCTGCTGGAGTAATAAAATAATTATTTATTTCAATAGGGTAGCAAAACCCATATTTTTCATCTTATTTATAAATAGTCAACTTTATTTTCTGATGTGGTTAACCACAATTCTCCCTTTTCACTAACGTATATAACGGAAGAAGGCACACGGAGTATGGTCTCCATTTCTTTTGAAATATTTTATATGCCCTTGGTAGACTGCTAAAGGACACAGGATTTGGGGGCAGAGTGGCATGGTACCGTCCTGTCTCTGCTACTCAGTAGCATTAGGGTCGTAGGCAAACTGCTCAACTCTCTGTAAAACAAAGACATAATTGTACCTAACTTGAGATTTGTTGTAAAGAATTAAATGAAATAGAGAATTGGCAGAGTTCTTAAAAGACAAAGCTAACACCCTAACAAGTGTTTGAAATATATTGACAGTTGCCTATCTATATAGTGGTCTGGTTGATTTATTTTTTATAAACTGATAGATATTTATTAACTGTTCCTAGACTGGTAACCTTACTACTCTGATTGTCAGATGAGGAAGAGACTTGAAGCACTTGGTATCTCTGTTCTTTACACATACAGCTTTGTGTTAGGAAGGGGGTCGTTGGATCCAAGCTCCTGGCTTCCCTCACTCAGAGCTAACAGCTACTTTCTATGCAGCACTGCTTCCCTTAAACACCTCGAGCAGGAGAAGATCTTTGCTTCTCCAACCAGCCACCAACTTCTCAGGGAAGGTCACTGATTTCCTTGTTCAAACCATGATAGAACCTCCCAGCCCAGCAAATGGTGACATCAGTGACAGTTCTGCTTCTTCTACAAAACCAAGGCACATCAACAATCTACATATAAAATAAAAGTCATCGAAAAATCTAACTTCAGCTGGAGAGGCAGTAGGGATGTAGATTATGGAAATCCTCAATGCAATGATATTCAGGAGCAAAGAGACAAATGTCTCATTTTTAAACACAGAAATTAGTACCTTTCCCTGCTTTGGTAACTTTGTGCTCATCAGCATGCATAATTTTTAAAACTTTGTCACGAAACATTGAGGATACTAGTTAATACTTCCTGGAATGGACTTCTCATTTTCAGTCAAGTCTCTAATTCTATTCTTTCTTTTGCAGGGAATGGAAGGGCTTCACTGGATGTGTGGTCAGTCTTCTTCACACGATGAGAGTTCACCGACAACACAGCATTGTGGTGTGGCCGTGAGGGTCTGAGCTGAGGTCGTGTGTGGATGCACTCACTGTGATCTGCCACTGTGTCCATCTCAGCTGTCTTGGATTGTTTTTCCTGGTAAGTAGACCCTTTCCTGTGACACATGTACCTAATGAGTAGTGGATTGAAGTTCATTTTACTGTAAGATCTCTTCCACTTCTAACACTGTACTAATGTGCAAATCCCAGGCAATGTATTTACTACACCACCAGAGCTTAAAGAAGTTCCAAGAGACCATCTTTCTAGCACTTTCAAAGCACCAGGGCATTGACAGGGAAGGGGTCGGGCAGTGGACACTATAGTATAAGGTCTTCACGGTCATTTGTTGGGTATGAACCTGCACTGTTATTGGACCAGGAAGAGTACACTCAGTGCTGCCCGAGACACTGAGAAACACTGCACAGTACAGCCAACATCTGAGCTGTGTTTCATTGGGGGCCAGTAGGGTTTCACCTAGGGCTTGAGCACTGGCTCAGCAATTTAAAAGAATACATACTATTAAGGACCAGGGAAACTGAAAAACAGTTCCTTTCTAATAGTCAAGGACATTTAACGTGAATGATAGTATTAAGGAGGATGTGGGGAAATGCTCACTCTCTAAAGCTTGTTGGGGCTGTTCAAGCTTTAGATCCGATGAGGAAAATGCGAACCACTTTTAGGGGACTAGTATGAAAGCAGAAAGTGTGTGTGACTGACACCTTTCCGTTGAGAATGGTTTCTAACACAATGGTGCAGTCAGCCCATGGTTCTACCACCAGGGGAGCAGGCAAAGGAATCCTACCATGAGTATGAGGCATCTGTGCCCAAACAGGAGTGAGCTCTGTTCTTGACTTTGACTATGCCCATGATACAGACTAAATGGGGGAAAAAACCCACAGAATAACATATATGCCTTTATTTCACTTTTTTTAAAGATTTATTTATTTTACTTGAAAGCCACAGTTGCAGAGAGAAGAATAGGCAGAAAGAGAGAAATGGAGAGAGAGGGAGATATCTTCCATCTGCTGTTTCACTCCCCAGATGGCCGCAACGGCCAGAGCAGCACCAATCTGAAGCCAGGAGCCAGGAGCTTCTTCCAGGTCTCCCATTTGGGTGCAGGAGCCCAAGGACTTGGGCCTTCTTCTACTGCTTTCCCAGGCCACAGTAGAGAGCTAGATTGGAAGTGGAGCAGCCGGGTCTTGAACCAGCACCTGTATGGGATGCTGGCACTACAGGTGGCAGCTTTACCTGCTACACCACAGCGCGGGCCCCTTTATTTCACTTTAGAAAATAAAACAGATGAAGTCGTATGAAGGTTGTCTGAGCACATAGAAAAATCCTAAACCATATACCTGTAACTTTGAACTGCAGTTATCACTGGGAGGATATGCAGTGCAGTAGACCAGCAAGTACTGATCATTTTTAAAGTGTCAGCATTCTTTTTATTTATTATCTATTTATTTTTAAAATTTTATTTATTTATTTGAATGGTAGAGTTACCGACAGTGAGAGTGAGAGACAGAGAGAAAGATCTTCCATCTACTTGTTCACTTCCCAAATGGCCACAATGGCTAGAGTTGAGCTGATCCCAAAGCAGGAGCCAGGAGCTTCTTCTGGGTCTCCCACGCATGTGCAGGGGCTGAAGTGCTTGGGCATCTTCTACTGCTTTCTGAGGCCATAACCGGCGGCCTTATGGGACGCCACTGTGCCACAGCGTTGGCCCCAGTGTCAGCATTCTTGATATGCTAACATTATTTGAATTCATGATAACACGTCATTCTTCATATTGAAGGAAAGACTGCTCCTGAGAAAGGCTGGCTTGTAATTCTCCGTTAGGACTCAAAAGAGCTAACCCTACTGTAGAGATGAGAAGGCACAGGGTCATGCAGGACAGATACTCATAGAGGATACTCAAGGGTTCACATCCTGGTTTTACTCCCAAACCTTTATTCTGCCCCTCACCCTCCACCCCTGCTGGTAATGCCACCATTTCATTTTTTTAAAAAAAAGATTTATTTATTTATTTGAAAGGTAGAGTTACAGAGAGAAGGAGAGGCAGAGAGGGAGAGAGAGAGAGGTCTTCCATCCATTGGTTCACTCCCCAAATGGCTGCAGTGGCCAGAGCTGTGCCGATCCAAAGCCAGGAGCCGGGAGCTTCTGGGTCTCCCACATGGGTGCAGGGGCCCAAGGACTTGGGTCATCCTCCACTGCTTTCCCAGGCCATAGCAGAGAGCTGGATCGGAAGTGGAGCAGCCGGAACTCGAACTGGTGTCCATATGGGATGCCAGCACTGCAGGTGGCGGCTTTACCTGCTACACCACAATGCCAGCCCCCACCATTTCTTAACTGTCACATTAAACACTGCAAAGAGACTCTCCACTGCTTTGAAACCATCCTCTGGTTATCTCACAAGGACATTGCACTTCCCTCACAGCTTGTTTGATGGTTGCCTGTCAACCATGGGAATGTTTCCCACCAGGTTGCCCGTGGCGCATGTGGGCACCAGAACCTGTCACCTGGTCCTCACGGTAATGCCAGCGGTGATCGCCAGCCACATTCTGTCCACAGGACCCCTGTTCTAATGTTGGAATCCTGCGAAGTGTTTTTAAGGTGCAGTAAATCCTCCATGAACTAGAAAATCCATTATGTTTGGAAAGAAAGCCAGGATGGCGGAGGAGAGAGAACAACCTGTGCAAAGGGCCGGAGGCAGGGACGTTAGATGTATTTGACATTCTGTTCACCGCAGTTTAATATACCTGCTTGATTCCTGCAGGTATATATTCTGAATATATATATTCAGAGTCCTGAATCCATGAGCGCATTATATTTAAGGGTATGTAGAGATAGGGAGTTAAGGCATTGGGAGAAGAAGCAGAACGGGATGAACTTTGCCTGTATGAATTGTGGCTGAGTGGTGGTGATGTCCCTGATGGAGATTTGGGGGATGCTATGTCATTTCCTAGCCCTTCTGAGACACCTGTGGGGTTGAATTGATTTCACTACTGTGGAACCAGACTGAGCATTTTAATTTCCTCCTGGCTGGTCCTGCTGGGCACAGCCATGAATCTTCACCATGGACCCATCCAGAAGGCTCAGACACAATGTCATTAGAGGGAGTTCCCAATAGCTGGGTGGTGAGGAATCCCTGGTTTCTTTTTCAGCTCCTCTGGAGAAGTGTGAATGCTGACGGGACTTAGAGGCCCCCTATGTTTTGTTTTAGTGAAACCGGTCAAGGCGTTTCAGAACGTTGGGCAGACGTTCCACACTGTCCCTTTCTGCCTTCAAACACCAAGGCCATATATTTAAATGAAATGCTTGTGTTCCATAGTTGCAAGTGTCCTCATTGGCTATTATTATTATTATTATTATTATTATTATTTTGGTCTCAAACTCCTACCTCCCAAACACATCTTCATAAAAATCATTTCTTCTCATTCTTCAAATTGAGTAACTTTAAAAATCTACATATAGTATTATTATTTGCTTGGAATGATATCTATGGACTACATAGAATCTGTTCTCTTTGTATTAATATCACAATAATGGTGCTGGCGCTGTAGAGTAGTGGGTTAAACCTCCGTCTACAGTGCCGGCATCTCATATGGGCACTGTTTCAAGTCCTGGCTGCTCCTCTTCTGATCCAGCTCTCTGCTATGGCCTGGGAAAGCAGTAGAAGATGGCCCAAGTTTTTGGGCCCCTGCACCTGCATGGGAAGACCCAAAGGAAGCTCCTGGCTTCGGATCTGCACAGTACTAGCTGTTGCAGTCAATTAGAAAATGAACCAACGGATGGAAGACCTTTCTCTCTCCCTCTCTCTGCCTCTCCTTCTCTCTCTCTGTAACTCTGAATTTCAAATAAATAAATAAATCTAGAAAAAATTACATTAACATGAAACTTGAGAACTGTGTAGTAGTAATTATGCATCTGCTATGACCCTGAGAACCCAATGTGTTAATAAATTCTTTTAAAAAATTAAAAAATCTATCTGTAACTTATGAATCAGTTCTCTTTCTCACAGAAGCCCATACATATTGGGCTGGGACATACAGAATGTAGTATTCTCCTGGAGCTGGAGAGTCAGCAGCTCATTGTGGGACATGTGGAGCCACTGCCCACTACTGAACACACCCTCCTGTGCTGCTCCCCGGGCTCTGCAGTTCCCTGCTCGAGGTTAGCTGCTTGCTGCTCTCTGAGGCGAGAAAGCAGGCAGGGTGATGACTAGAGCGTCTCAGGTTTTTACCCCAAAATTTATATTTTTTTTTCTTATGCAGGGTGCTTTTTGGGTCCCAGAGTTTGCTTGCAGAGGTAGTAGCTGCGTGGCTGCCCGCGACCGTCTGAAGATTGTGTAGTGCACTGTCTGTCCTCTCCATCTCTCTCCTTTTTGGGTCCATCCTCGGAATTCCCTTGGTATCTAGATCGTTCCTGCTGTAGATGTGAGTAGCAACTAATGAATGTGTGCTCATTTTTAAAGATGGACCCTTGGCCTTTTGTTTTGTAAAGATTTATTTTATTTATTTGAAAGACAGAGTTACAGAGAGAGGTAGAAACAGAGAGAGAGGTCTTCTATCCATTGGTTCACTCCCCAGATGGCCGCAACAGCTGAAACTGCACCAATCTGAAGCCAGGAGCTTATTCTGGGTCTCCCATGTGTGTGCTGGGGCCTAAGGAGTTGAGCCATCTTCTGCTGCTTTCCCAGGCCATAGCAGAGAGCTGGATCAGAAAGAGGAGCAGCCAGGACTAGAACTGGCACCCATATGGGATGCTGGCACTTCAGGCCAGGGCTTTAACCCACTATGCCACAGTGCTAGCCCCACCCTTGGTCTTTTACACAAAGCTCAGGGTAGTGGAAGCAGCATCACAGATCCCTAGGGCTAAAAGGAACCTAAGGCATTCTCATTCAGCCATCTAGCGAAATAACCATTTGCACCATGTTTTTGCAATGTGCCAGTGAAGTGAGGAGGAAGAAGAGATTAGAAAATGGGATTCACACCAAAACACAACAACAACAACAATGAAAACCTCCCAGTGTGATTGAAAGGTGAATTACATCATTGTTACCGGTTCCAAGAATAGGATTAGTTTGCATAAGAGACTGGGGAAGATCTCACTACAAGGTTTTGTCCTGGATGCACGTGCCTGGGAGTGAAGGGAATGTTATATACCTCACAGACACTTGCACAGCGAGTGTCATGAACTGCCAAGGGTATGGAAGCCTCTTGAGTTCACAAACTCGGACCTTATTTAGACAAGGCCATAATCAAAGTGGAAGTTCTTTCCTCCCTTCAGAGAAAGGTACCTCCTTCATTGATGGCCCTTTCTTTCCACTGGGATCTCACAGAGATCTTTCATATAGGTCATTTTCTGCCACAGTGTCTTGGCTTTCCACGCTTGAAATGCTCTCATGGGCTTTTTAGCCAAATCTGAATGCTTTAAGGGCTGGTTATGAGGCCAGAGTGCAGCACCAGTTTGAATCTGCATCAAACCCTGCTCACTGCTGCATGGATCCACAGCGCCCCCTGGTGAATGAACCACAGAATGGGAATGACCTGGAGAATTCCCCAGAATGTTCAGCAGCTCTTTTTCCTTTGAACAAACATGGAATTTTGTTTTCCATTCCACCTCCTCCAGCTCAGACAGAGAATTGTTTGTGTTTTGCTGTTGTTATTCGGAATTTGTCAGTCCTTTATTTCATGATGTGCTGAGCCATTGAATCTCCCCAGTGTCTGACTTCCATTTTAATACTAAGTCTGTTTTTATTTCTATTTGAATTTTTCTTTTTTGTGTCACTTTTACAAAATACGCTTTCATACTTTACACCTGGTTATCATGTATACCTTATCTGTATTTACATTCACATCATTTCCATTTGTTTCTAAAGCATTAGACATTTTTTTAAAGGACTTAGTGACTGCTGTGGGGAGATCTATGTCACAAAATTTGAACATCAATATCATCTCAGCACTGGAGTCCGAGGTTTGCATTTTCATATCTCATCCGTGTCCCAGCTTATTGCAGAATGCACAGGGCTGTGCCCTGGACTCTGAGACCTCCTCTGTCTCTGCCTTCCCCAGATGCACTGGGGTGGTTCAGGGTCAGGCTGCACCTGTGTGTGTCACTGGCCCCTGGTCCTGGGCACAGCCTGCTGCACTGAACTTGCACTCAGAGGTCTCCACAGATATTCACCACTAAAGATGCTCAGAGCCCATGGCTGAGGAACTGGGGTTTTTGTCTCACTTCCTCATCGTCTGAAGCACTGTGCGCATGGAAGCTGCTCCCACTACCGTGAGCTGTAGCACAGTAATAGTCGGCCTCGTCCTCGGGCTGCAGCCCAGAGATGCTCAGGACGCCTGCATTGGCCGAGTCATCCTTGGATCCAGAGAAGCGGCTGTGCACCCCGGAGCCCTGGTGTTTAATTTCTTCTGTGTGGTAGGTCAGGAGATACCTGGGAGGCCTCCCTGGCACCTGCTGGTACCAGCCAATTACATAACTGCCAACACTGTAGCCAGTGCTCAGGGTGCAGGTGAGTCTGGCTGTTGTGTCCAGAGACGCAGACAGGGAGGGCGGCTGAGTCAGCACAGGCTGGGAGAGGGAACCTGCAGACACAGACACACGGGGAGGGGGCAGAGGTCAGGCTCACGTCCCTCAGGGCTCTGAGCAAGGGGTCTGAGCCAGGCTGGGACCTGGTCCCCAGGGCCGTCCCTACCTGTGCAGTGAGAGAGGAGCAGCAGGAGCAGAGGAGCCCAGGCCATGGTGGTCACAGCCCCTGATGACCACAGTGGGCTGTGCTGCCCCAGGCCTCCTTTTCTTCTCCAGCCTGTGCCAGAGGAGGGGCTGCTCATGCAAATGAGGCCCCACCCAGTGCCTGCCCCGCCCCTCCCTGAGCCCTGGTGCTGGGGCTCAGCTCCCACTGCTGACTGAGGAGGATGAGGGTTTGTTGCCCTCCCTGGGGATGCCTTGAGGGAGAGGAAGCACCTGTGAGACAACACAAAGGTTCTTGCTCAGGACACTCTACCAAGTTTCAAGGGAACAGCTGCTGCATCCCCAGGAGTGAGCACAGGTAACACAGGACAGTCTCACAGCGCCCCCTACTGGTGACAGTGCATACACTTCCCCATGACCCAGAGACCTGAGGTTCACAGAAATTCTGCAGCTCACCAGTCACTGTGCCCATTCACACACTCACAGCCTGATTGTAGAAGCTGGGACCTGATAATCTGTGTAGCTACTGTGCTTCTAACTCCCTGTATCTGACCTACACATAGGGCACAAAGTAAGTTGTCAGCAGTTATTTAATTATTTATTGCAAAGTGCAATGGAAGGAGGGAGAGAGAGATGAGAGAGACAGAGAGAAAAATATCCTCTGATCTGTGGTTCACTCCAAATGTCCAAAACAGGGCTGAGCCAGGCTGAAGCCAGGAGCCCACAGCTACACTCAGGGCTTCAACATGAGTGACAGGAACCCAAGTGTTTGGGCAGCACCTGCGGCCCCGAGGCCATGTGCAGGAAGCTGGGTCAGGGGCAGAGCAGGACTTGATCCCAGGCCCCCTGGTTGAGATGCTGGAATTCCATATGTGTACCTTTTTTTAAAAATTGGACAGATAGACAGTGTGTGTGAGAGAGACAGAGAGAAAGGTTTTCCTTCCATTGGTTCACCCCCCAAATGGCCGCTACCGCCTGGGCTACACCGATTCAAAGCCAGGAGCCAGGTGCTTCTTCCTGGTCTCCCATGAGGGTGCAGGGTCCCAACGACTTGGGCCATCCTCCACTGCCTTCCCGGGCCACAGCAGAGAGCTGGAATGGAAGAGGAGTGACCGGGACTAGAACCCAGTGCCCATATGGGATGCCAGCGCCTCAGGTGGAGGATTAACCAAGTGAAGATTTATTTATTTATTTGAAGGTTTGAGTTAGAGAGAAAGAAGGAGAGAGAGAGGAGAGAGAGATGGATCTTCCATTCACCAGTTAATTCTGCAAGTGACTGCAAAGGCCAGGGCTGAGCCACTGCGTGTCTGGTATCTGATAACAGAAGACAACTGGAGCTTTGGGTAGAGTGGATGATCATAGCCCTCACCCTGACTGTTGATGAGCAACTTGATATGTTATCCCTCTTAGTATTTTTTTTGTTTGTTCTACTTAATACTTTTGGTTGAAAACTGTAATCAATACACAATTATTCTTAAGTGCTGAAACTTAACTGAAAAGTGATCACTGTTAAATATAAGAGTGGGAATAAGAGAGGGAAGAGATGTGCAATTCGGGACATGCTCAAGCTGACTTACCTCAAACGGTAGAGTTAGAAACATAGCAGGGGATTCCAATTCAATCCCATCGAGGTGGCGTGTACCAATGCCATCTCACTAGTCCTGGTGATCAATTTTTGTTCACAATTGATCATAATGATAGGACTAAGAACCAAAGGGATCACATAAACAAGAATAGTGTCTGCAAATACTAGCTGATAGAATGAAAAAGGGAGAGAATGATCCAACATGGGAAGTGAGATACGCAGCAGACCCTTAGAATGGCAGATGTCCTAAACAGCACTCTGGCCTCAGAATCAGTCCTTAAGGCATGCGGATCCGGCTGAAAAGACCCTGAGAGTATTTCAGGCATGGAAAGCCAAGACACTCTGGAAAAAAAAAACTAAATGAAAGATCTCTGTGAGTGAGATCCCAGTGGAAAGAACGGGTCATCAAAGAAGGAGGTACCTTTCTCTGAAGGGAGGAAAGAACTTCCACTTTGACCATGGCCTTGTCTAAAAATTATCAGAGTCAGTGAACTCAGGGGGCTTCCATAGCCTTGGCAGCTCATGACAAGAGCCGAGGGTGATTACTGAGGCCATAAACACGAGTGTCAATTTGTTAAGTCAACAACAGGCGTCACTGTGCACTTACTCCTCATGTAGGATCTTTGTCCTTAGTGTGCTGTACATTGAGATTTAATGCTATAACTAGTACTCAAACAGCTCTGGGGGACATGGGTCAACATTGTCTCCATCTTAATGGACAAAAGACATACGAAAACGTTCACAACTGTGATGTGCCCATACCTCATAACATCAGCTACTCTCTGATGAGTATATACCCATTGTTGTCCCAAACCTGCCTTACTTCATGAGCTGTTTGAGAGACCAACTACCTTTACCAGTACATTTCCAGGATTTGAAAATCATACAGGCATTTTCCATCCCTGACAGAATGAGACGGGTGTCCAATACTCTCTCTGAATGTGGTTGAGGGTTAGATAGGCTGACAAGGCCAACCACAGGCAACCTGGAATGTGAACACTCAGAATAAAGACGTTCAGAGTCCTCCTTACTGACAGCATTGTGTGCATGGGCACTGCATGGGTCCCCTGTTCAGTGTCACCCAGAGTTATTTCAATCCCCTGGGCTGTAGAAGGCTGGGCTTAGAGTGTCTCAGCTGTGGCCTCTGGGAGTTCTGATAAGAGAAGATGCCCTCCGCCCCAGTCTGGAGGGAGGAGTAGAAACGTGGGGAAAACCAGGGTAAAGGCATTTGAGACACCAGATGCTCTGGTATGAATCAAAGGTCAATGCTATCAAAATCCTTTGATTAAATAAAGTACTAAGTTCCATGAAGGTAGTTTGTTGAGTCACTGATTCAGGGAATTTGAAAGCAATATGGGGTGAGCATGTGCACAATTGGGTCTCCTGGCAAATGTGCGAAAATAGAGTTGATGTAGGCTGGAAGCTGTGGTGTGTGCACCTGCTGCACATCACTGCTGTCCCCCTAGAGATCTTACACAAACTCTACCCTGAGAGCCGGTGTTTCTATTCTGGAGAGCGAGGTAGCAGGTATGAGGTAGATGGAAGGGAAACTCTGCAGCCCACTGGCAATGGGACGTGCTGTCCTCCTGTGGGCCTGGGATGAGGTAAGGAACTAAAATGTGCCCGTGGGGGCCTTCACTGTGCATGGGAGAACAGAAGTCATTGAAACTCATGTATGATGGGACAATTTTCATTTATTTACTGATGTAATTATGCCAGCATTTGTGAAACATGTATTTCAAAGTCTTCCACAAGGGATAGTGAGCGTTGTAAAATGTTGGATTTAAACACCCCTGGGAATGCCCACATTCCCTATTTTATTGACTGGGATAGAGTCCTGCCTCCCTTTCTGGTCCAGCTTCCTGCTAAGGTGCACCCAGCATGGCAGAGGATGATGGCTCCTTGGGCACTTGGTTAGCAGCAGCCATGTGGGACCCTCACATGGAATTTCTGACTCCTGAATTCAGCATGGCCCAGCCCCAGGAATTGTAGGTATTTTAGAAGTAAACTTATGGATGGAGACACAGCTCTCTCCCTCTCCCTACCACATTGCCTTTGAAATGAATAAATATGCTAATAAATAAAAATCATGGGTGTCTACGTTATGGTGCACTGGGTTAAACCACTGTGTGTGAGAGTTGGCATTCTGACACAGCATTTTAAACCACCACTTGAGACTCCAGCAATCCAAAAGGGTGCAGTTTTGAGACTGGCTGTTCTACTTCATTCCAGCTCCCTGCTTATGTGTCTGGAAAGTGCAGAAGATTGCCCAAGAATTTGTGTCCCTGCAGCCATGTGGGTGACATGATGGAATTCTGGGCTCCTGATATCCCAACACCAATTGCTGTGGCTATTTGGGGAGAGACCAGCAGACAGAAGATTCTCTCTCAAGTAAATAAGTAAATAAATCTTACAAAATAAAAAAAACCCTGTGTACTCGGCTCTGCTTGGTGACAGATGACAAAGGTATATGAACCCAGAGGGAAACAACACCTCAAAGCAATGATCTGTCCTCTCCGCTACGATGTTAGTAAGGAGGACTCTGAGCTGCTCTGATTCTGAGTGTTCTAGTCGCAGGTTATGAGTGATGAGTCTTATAAACCTGAGAGTTCCCCCACCAAACTCACAGAAGTATTGCACTCGAGCAAGTGTGACAGATGCACCTGGATCTACAGAGGGATTCAGTGATCTCTGTGACACAGGCAGAGGGGGAGGGGACTCTAATGAGACGTCAGGGCAGGTGCAGGGCAGAACCCAAAAGCAGACAGAAAAGGGGAAGAGGGCAGAGTGAGGCTCTGAGGACCTGGCTGAGCAGCCTCCCAGGGCAAGAACGGGGACCCTCTGCAACCAACAGTCCCAGCGAAATAGAAAATGAAACCATGGAAAATGAAGGCTTCCTTAGCAGTTACACCAGCCAGCAGAGTGTGTGTCCCAGAGGAGAGACTGCAGTCACAGCCACATCCCCAGGGGTGGCCGCTACATACGTGTTTAGGGGTAATGCAGGCTCCATCATGTTAACCCAGGCCCTTATTTTTAAGCATCCTAAGAGCACACACAGTGCTCACTCACAGCTCAGCCCTTCTCCCTGTGTATGGTTGTGAACCAGGGCTCTGTGCAGTCACCCTGTGCTGGGGAGACCGGGAGCCCCTGGGTTTCTGTCTCACTTCCCCCCTGGCCCACAGCACTGTGTCAGCACCCAGGCTGCTGTCCCATGCGGCACAGTAGTAATCAGCCTCATCCTCGGGCTGCAGCCCAGCGATGGTGAGGGAGGCCATGTTCCCAGACGTGTAACCTGTGAACCTGTCTGGCACCCCTGAGGGTCGAATACTGCTGCTGTAGAGGAGCATGGTGGGGGGCCTGCCGGGGAGTGGCTGGTACCAGGATGTGTACCCCTTCCTCACGTTGCTGCTGCTCCCCGTGCAGGGGATGATGATGGTCCGCCCCTCAGCCTCGGTAAAGGCAGACGGCTGAGTCAGTGCAGCCTGGGCCCAGGACCCTGAACATCAGAAATCTCCTCACTCACAGGCACACACACCCAC